GTAAATTGTCACTGCTATATAAATACCTACAAACATTTATCATTAGATTAGCGTTGGGTATAATGCACATGGCAGGGAGACAGAAGGGGGCATTTAAGATTGTGCCAATAGTACAGTAAAAATGGTTTGTTTTGCCATTCACCAGGTCTTACTAAAATGAGTGGTGCCTGTAACCTCTGTCTGGATGTGACTCTAAGGCGCTCATTCATTTTAACAAGCAGACATGTTGATGTGTGCTGAACGCTATGTTAAGGCTGTTACTTACGTCCATTGTCATGGAAGGGCCCAAGAGTCGAATGCATCCACTCCCAGCTGAGTTGTGTCACAAGAATGTGATCACCTGAAAAAAAAAGGTGTTACCATAAAAATATTCCCCCTCTGTCCCTTATGTTTTGGCACAGAGGGAGGTGGACTGCTACAAATTGTCTATGCATGCTGTAGCTGAGCTTTCCCTCAAACTCCCGCAGGTCATGAAAAGGTTAAATAATACTGTATGATAGACAACTTGGTGCCAATGAGATTACTCTGTAAAATAAAATCTAATTATAAGGATCGGTAAGCACAATTTGCAGTGATGAGCAAGACATTTTAAAACACCAAGATGTGAATAGTTGATGGAAATGCAGGCTAAGAGAACCACTTAGGCTTCCATTGCTGACTTTTCCAACTTCCTTCTGTTAGGTGCCTGGCTGTTATGTTCATCCTCAGACTTCAATGCTTTCTGAATCACTACTGAGAACAGGCCAGTTCCACTGGGCAGAGAAAAAAAAACCCGGTACTGGACACTAGATGGCAGAAGAAGCATACAATAGCAGCGACGTTTTTTGCATATATCTACTGCTAGCAAGCAGAAGATATATGCAAAAAGTGGAGACAAAAAAACGCTTTAACAGTGGTTTAAACTTACATGTACCTTCCCCACGCGCTCCCGTCCGAAAATTTGAAAATTCTCGTGCAGCCGCAAAGGATATTGTGGCGCGTGCATGCGCAGTTCACATTTTTGACCGGCATGCGAGGAGGGACGCAATGTAAAGGCCGTGACACACTGCACGCGAAGCCGTGCAGAGCGAAGCAAAGCTATCCGGCACGGAGCTTTGCGTGCAGTGTGTGAGCTGAGTGCAGTCAGATGATTGACTGCACCTTCAGCCAATCGGCTCGTGCTTAACAACCGGCCAGACGTCACATCCCGTCGCGCTGCTTTATACGTGTCAGCCGATTGGCTGAAGTTGAAATTGTTCATCTCGGCACACTCAGCTCCGCGAGCTCTCGCCAGCTGAGGTGCCCAGAAGAAAATTACATGACACACTGCTCGCAAAGGCAGCGCGCCACCGCTCCGCGCTGCTTCGCCTGCAGTGTGTCACGGCCTTAAGTCTATGGACGCTTGCACCCGCATGCATACACCGTGACACAGGAAGTGCAAGCAAGGACAGAGGAGTCAGCGCTGGATCGGAGACCCGCTGCAGAGAAGGCTGAAAACTACATGAAAGAAGATCGGATTAAGAGACATCATTAAGGTAAATGCTTTAATTTAGTAACTTTGATCGATCAAAATAATTTTGATCGATCAAAGAAATTAACGATTTATTGACGGCACACCAGAAAATATCTCACGGCACACTAGTGTGCCGCGGCACAGTGGTTGAAAAACACTGCTTTAATTAACGTTGGGGTGAGGAGGAAAAAAAGTTGCCTTTAATGTCACTTTAACATTCAGGACTTGTTATCAGATGTGTAGTTAATAAAGCTGTGCTAAAATAATTATAGTATGCTCACTGAAGTAACTCCAAATCAGCCAAAACGTGTGTAATCAGATCCATAAAAGATGATTTCTAACTGATTGCTATGGATTTCCCATTATTTTGTGTCGTTCTGCATTATATTATAGACCTAAAAACCTTTCTTGTTAGCTAAACACTGTGAGTGGCCACTTGTGGAGCATGCTGGGACTTGTATTTCCATGGCTGGCCTACTAGATAATATAGGACTATATTTATTCACTTAGCACTCTACTGTATTTCAGAAGGAGGTTCCTCAAGCTTCAGATGGATGGCACCATTGGCGGCCAACAATACACAATAGCACCCTATTACTTTACATACTGCCCACCGCCATACCCTCCATAGTCCACCTCTTCACAAACTGCCCACCGTCATACTCTCAGAACTCTACAACTGCTCATACTGCCCACCATCATGCCCTCAGCACTCCAATCCTTCACATACTGCCCACTGTCATACCCACCGTACTCTGCTACCTTACATACTGGCCACCACCATACCCTCCTTCTCATACTGCCCACCGTCATACCCTCCTATACATACTGCCCACCATCATACCCTCCACACTCTACTCTTTCACATACTGCCCACCATCATGCCCTCCACACTCTACTACTTCACATACTGCCCACCGTCATACCCTCCACACTCTACTCCTTCACATACTGCCCACCGTCATACCCTCCACACTCTACTCTTTCACATACTGGCCACCGTCATACCCTCCACACTCTACTACTTCACATACTGCCTGCCATCATGCCCTCCACACTCTACTACTTCACATACTGCCCACCGGCATACCCTCTGCACTCTACTCCTTCACCTACTGCCCACCGTCATACCCTCTACACTCTACTCCTTCACCAACTGCCGACTGTCATACCCTCCTTCACATACTGCCCACCATCATACCCTCCACTTCTTCACATACTGCCCACCGTCATAACCCCACACTCTACTCCTTCACATACTGCCCACCGTCATATACTCCATACACTACTCTTTTACATACTGCCCACCGTCATACCCCCCACACTCTGCTCCCTCACATACTGCCCACCGTCATACCATACCCTCCGCACTCTACCCCTTCATCTACTGTCCACCGTCATACCCTCCGCACTCTACCCCTTCACCTACTGCCCACCGTCATACCCTCCGCACTCTACTCCTTCTTACTGCCCACCATCATACCACCCACACTCTACACCTTCACATACTGCCCACCGTCATACCACCCACACTCTACTCCTTACTGCCCACCATCATACCCTCCACACTCTACTCCTTACTGCCCACCATCATACCACCCACACTCTACTCCTTCACATACTGCCCACCGTCATACCACCCACACTCTACACCTTCACATACTGCCCACCGTCATACCACCCACACTCTACTCCTTACTGCCCACCATCATACCCTCCACACTCTACTCTTTCACATACTCCCCAGTCATACTCTCCTTCACATACTGCCCACCGTCATACCCTCCACTCCTTCACATACTGCCCACCGTCATACACCCCACACTCTACTCCTTCACATACTGCCCAACCTCCACACTCTGAGGTGAATTTATCAAAACTGGAGCAGACGCCCATGGCAACCAATCAGCTTCTATCTCTCATTTTCAAAGTTTAACTGAAGAGAGATGACGATTGGTTGCCCTGGGCAACTGCTCCAGTTTTGATAAATTCCCCTTATATCCTATTAAAATACTACTAGTGACATAATTCATTCTTGGTGAGCATTCAGCTTCTAACTTGCTCACTCCAACAACTACTGTTACGGTCTACAACAAAATGTCTGCCGCCTTTGTCTGGGGACATGTGACGTCACAGCAGTCTATATTATTATGATTCTGTTACGCAGACAATGAACTTTCTCCCATCCACTTCTCTTTGAATCCTTCAGCAGTCCGTCCTTAGTCACGTGGTTTGAGCAATTGCCCCAGTCTAGATGGGCGTGGCCTGTTTTAGGAAGGTCATTGCTGTGGGCGTGCTCTACAGCACGCGTGTTGCGCACTCCAGGAAGGCGGACCTGTCAACAAATTGTGTGACAAGCCGTTTAGGCCGCCGTCATTCTTGCACGGTTTTATCACAATTCTTTGAGTCTTCGCTCCTCTCTCCAGCACTCCGGCTCCCGGACAGTGCGCCTCCACGGGCGGCGTCGTCCAGTGTGCAGGGGATCATCAGATGGTGCGACACGGTGGTGCTGTGCCCTGATTGGCAGAGAGATGCTGTGCCGTGTGCTGGGGGCGGGACTTCTGGGCGGAGCGCGTGTCATGCTGGGGAGCCCGGTGGCTGTATGCGGTGTGAATTCTGCTGTGAGCTGCAGAGGGTTTAGCGTGCCTGGGAACAGGTGAGAGCATACCTGGGAGGGGATAACACTGGAGAGCCGGATATGGGGAGGCTTAGCAATGGCTGTGTGTTATGTTCTTGGCTGACCAAGAAATGTGGAGACAAAAAGTTATTCAGCTGATGCTTAGCATGTATTGTATGGACGTGTGGGTATGCCAGGCCTGTGCTTTCTCCATTGTACTGGGGTACCAGGATAGTCTAGTGCTAATCCCTGAGAGCAGGCTACTTGTGGCCAATAATGGGTCAATGGAGTGTCTAGTGAGGCTAACCATACCAATAATGGGTCAATGGAGTGTCTAGTGAGGCTAACCATACCAATAATGGGTCAATGGAGTGTCTAGTGAGGCTAACCATACCAATAATGGATCAATGGAGTGTCTAGTGAGGCCAGGGCTGTAGCTACCATGGGGCGAGTGAGGCACTCGCCTCAGGCGTAGTTGAGAGGGTAGCGCAGCCAGGGTCGGCTTGGCTGTGCCCCCTAACCCCTGTTGCCATGGCAAGCACAGGGCAACAGGGGCACCAGGCGGCCAACGCAGCTGCAGCTTGGCAGGGAGAAGAGGGGCGGCACAGGCTTCAGCTTCTCCTTGGATCCCTGTTGCTCTCCCCCAGCATTGCTCCTAGCATTGGTCAAATGTGTGTGAAGGAACCTAGCAGCCAATGTATCTATCAAAAATATGCACTTGTATATAATAATTAGGAAATGTAAATCTTGAGCAAAAATCTGATCCAAATCCTCTCGACATGCATTATCAATTATAACTAGCAGTGCTTACTCTGTAATGTATAGTCCTTGTCCGATCTGATTGGGTACTAGTACCCAGTCTTTATTGTTTCCAAGTACAATTGTATCCTCATGTTTTCCAGTATTAGAAGACATCTAGCAGCCATGCCTGAGGTAGACACAGACTCCCTGGATGAGAAGCAGGTCCAACTGCTGGCCGAGATGTGTATTCTACTAGATGAGAATGACAAGAAGATTGGAGGTGATACCAAGAAGAACTGCCATCTTAATGTTAACATTGACAAAGGTAAGATTGTAAAGACTAAACCTCATTTCCTGTAGCTATATATATTTATAAGCAGTGTCTGGTTCAAGCCAAAATGAGGAAACATCCATTGACTTGTGTTATCTGCTGATGAGCTAGATTACCCGTCTCTTCCCCCGCCACCTTAGTATGAAATAAATGAATTGCAGGGGGGAGCGGACATCATCATCAGTTGGGAACTCAGGACTTGGCCACCGTCAAGTTAAAAGAAATGTAAAAAGCAACTTGAAGACATTGATCTGGAGCAATAGCTGTTAAACTAATACTTCCATGTTGTGACTGGCATTTCCATGTGCCTGCCTGTTGCATCACATTTCTGTTTGAGTATCTAGAAAGCCCCAAACACCACCAGTAGAAAGGTGCAGGAGGGGGCCGGCTGGAGCCAGTACCTCATGCCTAGGAAGTGACCCCGAGTGGCACTGAAACGTTGCAATGTGACAAGATGGGTGTGCATCAATAAAAGGATCACTTTCTGAAGATTCGACCATGGTGTGCTGGTGATATATTTTACTACTTGAGGCTGGAGCCAGTGACGCGGAAGCTGGTTGCTTTTTATATTGGAGAATTTTAGCATTTTGGGCTTCTCAGATAATGGCCTTCAGAGGCAATCAATCTCAAAATAATAAAGAGGAAGGATCTTGCGGGTGCCCCTGTGGTGTTGCATCTTTTCCCAGCCATTTAGATGTTATAGGGCTCTGTCAGCGTCACGTGCATAGAGGTGGTTATGCTACTACGTGGAAGGTACAAGTAACATTCGGTAGAATTGAGCTCGGGGTGCAAGAATGCTGAATGTGACATTTACCTTTTTGATAGTGTATTGTTACTTTAAAACATTCTGTGATCGGTCATTCTTCTTTCTTACAGGTTTGCTGCACAGAGCTTTTAGTGTTTTCCTATTCAATACAGAAAATAAACTACTGTTACAGCAGAGGTCAGATGCCAAAATCACCTTTCCAGGTCTGTATCACTAGAAGTATGAAAGTAAACTCTGACCTTGGCCTGCATACTGGGAATTCCACTTAGTGGGAGCTTGCACAGCACAATGCAATATGGGCTTTAGGATGTACACCTTTTGGGTGTTAGAAGATGGGGCAGTCAGGGGGACTATGAACGCAGACATGTTTTATACTTTAGCTTCACCGCACTTGTGGTTGGTAGCCAGTTTGGTGCATTATAAAATGTTTGTCAGGACGTGTTGGCCCCTATCCCCACCTATGGTGAAGTGTGGTGTACCACAACAGATTGTTGGGGCATTGCAGTGCTATATTGAGCTGGGTGTGCCATACAGGTTAACGATGGTCTTTCTGTATATGCAGTCCTGTTTCAGTTCACATTTTGTACAGTTATGACCTGTAATCAAAATGTTACCACTGAATCAGTGGTAGTGGCAGTTCTTTCGCTTTGCTGCATGTTCAGTTTCCGGTATATGATTTGTCTGTTAGCATGACAAATACACTGAATTTCAGGGAGATGTGCATTGCGGTTAAAGAAGAAATCTGACTTATTATAAACTCCCAGATGGCAGCGAGTTAGGTGAAATTATGTGTGCTTACCTCCGTTTCACAGTCCAAAGATGTTGGAAATGGATTTGTTACAAGAAGCATACCGAAACTGAACCCTATTGATCAGAGGGCATTGTTACCTAAAAGTCCAATCCAAATTTAGTCTGTATGCATTGGCCTAATTGACCATAAAGTTGGGTATACACGTTTCTATTTTTTGTTCAACTTGCGGGTTGAATGAAAAAATAGAGCAGATTCCTTCATCAACACTTATGAGCATTGATGGCCGAACCCCTCGCTGTTTGCATTGTATTCTGACAGAGATCAGAGGCTAGCTGATGGGCTGCTAGCTCCAATGTGCTGAGAATTCAATGGCTGGCTCCTTTTTACCTTGTTCACACCAGGCACAGTGCATTCCGGCCCGATTCTGCCCAGAATGCACTGCCTCACATTGCGGCCGGCCCACTTTTTTGTGGGGCAGGAAGGGGTGTGACGGTTATTGAAGTGAATGGCACCGTAGCCACACCCTCCGGCCGCAATGTTATCGGCCGCACAGGATCGCAAGGCACATTATGCCTGCTGTCCGATCAAAATAGTGCTTGCAGCAAAGACCCCCCCAAAGAAGCTGATGAAGAAGAGATCTGCTTCATCAGCTTCTCTCCAGCATCTGAAGCTGGAGAGCGACACAAGAATGCGGAAGTGATGTAATATACATCACTTCTGCATTCTGACACTGGAGAGGGAATGGAGGGAGTTCATGTAACGATCTCCCTCTGATCCCGTCACAGAGCCACCATGCTGGTCCTGGGGGCGCACTGGGCACAGCGGAGTTTGGGACCCGCACAGATCAGGACATTATAAAAGCTATCCGCCGGCTCTGTAGCTGGCGGATCGCTTGAATGTAAACAGCCATTGCTGCCTGTTTTTTACATTTTGTCAGTTTCCTGCTCGCCCGTCTTTAGACGGCCTCTTACATCCAGGAAGCTCCCGGCCGGCCGCCTTTTCACAACGGCTGGCCAGGAGGTGGTTAAGGGCTAAAACATTGATCAAAAAGCGTATAAGAATTTAAGAAAAGAATATATCCCTAGATGCACATGAAATGCACCTGGAAAAACTACTGTGAAATCTGTCTTTGAGGCTTTGTTTATGAACAAAACCATGTGATCACCGTCATAGCTCACATGATCAGAAACTATGCTGATTTATATTCACATCATTAATGGGGACACATAACTGTCAATGACAGTTCTAGCTGTAAAGGAGAACATAGATTGCTGTTTCCTCTGCACATTGCATCTGGTAGAGGACTTTTTATCTGCAGAGTGTAGCGACTTAAAGCCCATCTCTAGGCAAAGTCTTGTGATGTTGGGAACGAGCATAAAATCTTTTGTCATACTTTGCGTATGTGCTGTATATATTGATCTTGTGTTTGTGATAAACCTCGTTCCTGTTTGTCATTTTCTGACCTCCCCAGGTTGCTTCACAAACACCTGCTGCAGCCATCCCCTCAACACCCCCCTGGAAACAGAAGAACAAGATGCTATTGGGGTCCGGCGAGCAGCACAAAGGCGTCTACAGGCAGAACTTGGCATACCAACTGAGCAGGTAAAAGCATTTCGGAGAGTTACCATACTAGGCACAAAGTCAGCTTTTACTGTTAGATACAGCAGGTGATATTATTCCCAATGAAGTCATCCCATTATATTGATCCTCAAAGTAACAGCTTGGCAGTAGCTATTTTAACATGTTCCTGGCCAGGTTGATGGTGGAAGGAGGAAAACACAAATGCAAGGATCATTTATCTTCAATATAGAGACTTTTACATTGCGGTTTCTGGACATAATACAGGTTTAAACAATGTGTCATACTATGCCTGGTGAAGGGACGCGGTGTGGTCTAGTAATGTGGCTTTTTGCTAGACACGGTTTTAACATCAATAAAAGTGTTATTGGGTGAAGTTCTTTGGCGTGCAGGTGACATATATTAATGTGGATTCATGTGGCACCATCTGCAGTTACTCAAGCACCCACCTAATCAGGGGTACTTGGTAAACTTGCATGGAAGGGAGATGACTCTTATTACCACTGTAGTGATAACTGGTCTAAGGAGTGTGTGAACGGCAAGCTCTAATATAGTGTATGTGGTCATAAAGCATTCCAGGAATGAGCTGATTACAACAGTATCTGCATTACTTTGTACGTTTATTGTCAGGTCAGAGTTACTTTTTGATGCCCATAAATCTCAGCACTTTGCTGTCAGGCCTGTAAACTGTGATCATAGAAGCTGGGAACTACCATATAGAGTAATGGTGGTCTTTTGTACTTTGGCACATCACTAACTATATCATTGAGCCTGTGAATGGAAGACAAGTCCCATCTGATACCGCACTAGAGGCACCTATAGAGCTCAAGGGACTACAAGTGCAGTGCGGTTACCACATTTGTAGTCTATTGAATACTTCCTCCAGCCCCATAATGGTCATTCTGTACCTCCATAAAGATCTGGGGGTTAGGGGGAAGAGTCTGCAGGAGCCTGGCTAGTGCCCCAGCAATAAAATAATGCAATTTGTTTATTAGTGTGCATGTATTTCATTTTTTCAGAAGGTCAACTGTGCTTTAAGAATGTCATTACTGACCTCAGCTGCTGTTCTGTCCCCATTTATACAAAGCTGAAGATATTGAAAATGACTTCTGAAATCATGTTAATGCTTATTATAGATTTGTCACTGGGTTTGCATTACTTTAAAGAGTACTTGTTTGCTGCAGTAACTGTATTGAATAACCCTTTTACTTCTGTTTTTTTAATATATAATGTTTCTTACTTTGTCTTATATAATGCTTAATCCTATAAAACAATTACAATTTACAGGTGACTCCAGATGAACTGAGATACCTAACGAGAATTCACTATAAAGCTCAGTCAGATGGGATCTGGGGAGAGCATGAAATAGATTACATCCTGTTTGTACAGAAGAATGTCACTCTAGATCCAGACGTCAATGAGATTCAAAGCCACTGCTACGTATCCAAGGAGGAGCTGACGCAATTGTTAGAAAAGGCTAAGCGAGGAGAAGTCAAGGTTACGCCGTGGTTCCAGCTGATTGCAGACACTTTTCTCTACAAGTGGTGGGATAACTTGGAAAATCTGAAATCATTTGAGGATCATGATAAAATTCATCGGATGTGAAGGAGACAATTCATTCTTCATTGCATGTAGTGGTCTATGGTGTGTGCGGCTGACACTGTGCAAGTGGTACCGTCTCTACAGATCTATATAACATCAGATTGATTTCTTAGACACTGCGCAATGTGCTTGTAAACTAATAAAGTGACATTGTACAGGAAATGGAGCACACCGGGGCTCATTGATGAAGGCTGGAGAAGTTTCCCATAAGAACCAGATTATGAATTCTAACTCTGCATTAAGAAATTAAAGTTGACATTTGATTTGCCAGGTTGTAACAAGACTTCCCACTGTTTATACAATTTAGCATTTGATGCAAAATGTAATTTTATTATCTGTTACTGAGCTTTTCAATAATTAAACTTCCCTTAAGTGCTGCTTGTGTTATTAGTTCATATGAATTTTGATGCTTTTATCTATTACAGGCAGTCTGCGGGTGACAAACAAGATAGGTTCTGTAGGTTTGTTCTTAAGTTGAACTTGTATGTAAGTTGGAACAGGTACATTTTTTTTAAGTGCAACTCCAGCCAATAAAAACATTTTAGTTTTGGACCGCATAGGGAAGGATTAGCCTCCCGTAACGTTTGTTTTGCTTTGTGTGACCCTGTTCAGAAGATTTCACCTCACTTTCTGTCCCTGTGAAAATTTTAGGTTGTCGTGGAAACAAGGATTGGTGATAAAGCTTTAGTGGATACACCTTTTTCCCATAACTCTTACAGGAGTGAATTTCCCTTCCTGTTGTCTCAAGGACAGGAAGTGAGATTAAATCTTTCTAATGAGGACACAGCAGTAAAAACCTCAGAGACCCGGAAGAAGAGGCGGGCACCACGTCTAACAAACCAAACCCAAAAAGGAGTGCACTCCTTGTCGGCATGTGTGGTAGCATTACAACTACCGAAACACTGCACGGTATACTTTGGTTGCAGCCTGGGACCCCCTGCTGTACAGTAATAGCCTCAGTTTGTAAGTAGGGGGTCATATGTAAGTTGGATGTTTGCAACTCTGGGACCGCCTGCATCTTATCAACCAGCTCTGTGTAAAAAAAAAAAAAAGGCAGGGAGGTTGAAATGTGTTCCTGGAGTTACGTTTAGAAACAATTCCAGAAATAGCCCTCAGGCAGCCAGGGCATCTGCTAATGAGTGTAGCCATTGTGGCACTCTAGGAACCGCAGCAAGTGTCCACAGATCCAAACAAATCGGGTAGCTCCAAGTGCTTAGTCCGATCACCCTACTCTTCCGATTCATTGGGAACCGCTGGGAAAGTGCTCTGTACCCAACTTGTTACTAGAATGGGGTCTGGAAAATGCCTTAAATTGCAGATCCTAGTGTCCAAAAGGTGATTTCAAGGCAAGCCCTGTAATGTCCAGTGGTACTCAAGTCCGAGAATAGGCCATGCCAGTTAGCTACAATCATAATTGATGTAGAAAATAACTGAGTCTTGACTGAATATAATTCATTCTTTCGAGGGCACTGAAGCGTGTTTTATGCCAGTAGCTGACTTTTTTTTTCCTTAAAGATTACCAAACATCTATATATACCTGTTACAATGCCATTGCTAACAGGCTCGGGGGTAACAAAGAGTCATGCTGGGAAAAATGCAAAGACCGCAGAGGAAGCACCAAATAAAAATAACTTGTTTCACAAAACATACCAAGGAATCGTCTAGAGCTGCCTTAGTAATCACATTTGACGCACAATGCCGATTCACAATATTTATATAGAAAAAGCAGTTTCTCTTCACAACATAATTTGCTATGTACCGGTACTCTAAGCATGGAATAAAAAACCACACGTTTGGTGGAGTCCATTTCACTTTAATAAATATGATCTGACACTTCATATTTATTTTTCTCGGGGCACATTTCAAGATGAGATCATTGTGGGTGGTTTCAAGGCACTGTATGCTGTAAAATATATCTAATTCCAGATAGGTGGTTGAATAAAACCTGTAAATGGAAAACCAAGGGTATTCCAGATTGGTCCACAAAACTAAACTGGTCAATGATGTTCGGTGGGACCGTATGGCACGGAGGAAGCTCTACACTGACCCCCATACACACAGTGCGACATGGAGGGAGGTGTACACTGACCCCCATACACACAGTGCGACATGGAGGGAGATGTACACTGACCCCCATACACACAGTACGACATGGAGGGAAGAGTACACTGACCCCCATACACACAGTATGACATGGAGGGAGATGTACACTGACCCCCATACACACAGTGCGACAGGGAGATGTACACTGACCCCCATACACACAGTGCGACAGGGAGGTGTACACTGACCCCCATACACACAGTATGACATGGAGGGAAGAGTACACTAAACCCCATTACACACAGTATGACATGGAGGGAAGAGTACACTGAACCCCATTACACACAGTGCGACAAGGAGGGAGGTGTACACTGACCCCCATACACACAGTGCGACAAGGAGGGAAGAGTACACCGATGGTCACAAGTCCTTAGAGAAGCAGGAGAGGAGTGAAGGGCATGCTTCTACTCCAGATGGGCTTATCGTCTGTCGGTTTTGCCAGCCTTCCTTTTACCAGCCAGTAGATGTTTGGGCTTCAGGTCAAACACGTGCCTATCAGCCTCTCCTTTCTTGCCCATTCGGTTCATTTTCCTCTGGGATTTCTTCATTATTATCTTGGCTTGCCTTGCCATCTAATTAACAGACAAAAAGGTGATTATTAAACAGTAACAGCCAAAATTTTAATTGCAACTACAATAATGTCAAGGGGTAAATGAATCAAAACTGCTGATCTCTGTTTGATAAAGCCTTTGGAGAGATTGAACGCACGTGTACAGTGGGGTTGCTTTGCATAGCCCCTGCTATGGACAAATCCACTTCCATGATGTCACAGACTGGCTTGTGCATTTCTCTCCTGCAACCTCAGCATGCATTCTACTTACTCCTGCTATTCAATAACTAAGAAAGGGGATCCAAGAGCTACTGCAGGGAGCTCTCATCAATTGAGTCCCAATAAAATCCATGGCCATAAGATGGCTTAGTGTAACAATGGTGGCAGAACTGGCCCTTTTTAAAGTACACCTGTCATGAGCTAATTATGGGGACTGCCATCCCTGAGCCCTGTTCACTCATCATTTCATATATGTTCACAATCAAACAACATTTGCCATGCATGTGTTCACAATATTGGATGAAGCATGCAAGTGATACGGTTTATTAACTTCAATCTATAAGCCTTTTCACATCATAACGAGGTGAATTTTCACATTCTGGAGATGTGGGTTTTGTGCCAAATATCTTCTTTTTAGCCAATTTGGCCAAATAGTTTATTTCTTTTTTATAAGTTTAATTTGAAAATATAATTTTTTTAGTATTAATTCCAATGAGCCCAGTCCTGCCACCAGTTAAGTATTTGAGGCATGTTAGTTGCCATTTTAGAAGGAGATAGAATGATACCATATTGTGACTTTAGGTTGCATACATCTTAATCCCAACTGAAGTTGTCTGCACTTTGAAAGGAGTTATCCAGGGTTTACAAAAACTGTATCAAATTCAATCAAATACGGATGGTCGCAGGATAGTGGAGCTCCGGCACAGCTGAAATCCTAGGGCTGAATCCTTAGCACAGAGGACTCCCATGATACTACCCATGTGTGCCCCTGACCCCAGCGACCGTCGGAGAGAACGAAAATCTAAGAAAGGCCCTCGGAAACTTACTGAATTTTTCCGCTCGACGGGCTCGCCGCGGACTCAAGATGGCGCCGGCTCGTCCAGCACCCTGTCCTCTCTGCAACTCTCCGACAGCCGTAACGAGCGGGAGCCGAAAGGAGGTGGGAGCCAGGTGACCGCCAACCCGGCAAAATCCACGCCCAGACTGGACTCTGGGGGAGCGCAGATACGGCCTGGGGAGGGGGACGAGCGGTCTGGCCCTACTGTGCATGTGTGTGAGGAGATGAATAGCACCATTGAGGATTGTCCCACTGCTGATCGCCCCCTGCTGGACACTACCCTAGGGGACGTGCTTGTGTCTCTTGGGTGCTCCCTGCATAGAGATGTGCTTTTTGCTGCTGAGAAGGGATGTTGACGCCCTGGGAGACGGAGTCGTCCACGTCGAGGACAAGATGGGGGATTATGCGGAGGCCCATAACGATCTTCTCGTCTACCAACTGGCACAGTCAGGTTCTCCGTTGGGGATTAATGGCGGTTAAGATTGTACAGCGCTCCTGCACTTGTATCACGCTGCCGTTCAGAGGCGACACCCGGAGCTTTAGGAGAAGCTGCAGGCTCTCTACATCCGCGTCTTGTCACCGTACTGCTCTACAAAGATGGCGCCGGTGTAGTCGGCTGCCGTCACGACTGCTCTGCAGTCGTGTAAGCATTTCACTGCATATCATACTTGTACGATTGTGTATGTGACAAATAAAATCTATCTATCTATCATCTATCTACCTATCTGTAGGGCAAAATTAACTCGGAGGGCATCAACATAAGAGTGAGTGGAGCTGGCCTCTTTACAATATCGTAAAATCAAGTAGCGAACAATCAGATCTACAGTAACACATGAAGGAACACTGACCTTGGGATCACGAACTCCAGACTGGTCTCTTGGTGGCCTGGAGTTGCTTTGGCTGCGGGTAACTGCAGTCGGTGGCACAGACTCTTCACGTTTACGCTTCCTCTGGAGGCTTCTGGACCTTGCTTGCACTGCATAATGAGTCTGTAAAACAAGAGCCAGATAAAAAAAAAAAAGAATTGAGCCTATGACTTGCTTATAGAGACAATTACGGGGGGGGGGTTGGAGGGGGAATGCTGCAGGTATGAGGTGGAAATGTGCATAACAGCAAAAGATTCCTAAATCTTCCCATCACAGATTTCCAAATCCAAGGCCATTGTTCCAGTGCTAATTGCTAAGCCAAATTCCCACTAACATCACTATGTTAGGCAGCCTCACCCGCCAATAGGAGTATGCAGGCATTAGCATTAGGGTTGCACAGATAACAAGTACATGTACCGATACTTTTGAGCTCCAAGACTAGACTAGAGAAAAATAAAAAAATTAGGAGGCAGCTGTCATTTGTAAGGAGCACACGGAGCTCCTGGGATTTGTACATCTCTGTTTTAAAGTACGATTTTTTTTTTATAAATATAAATAAAGGGATGCACAGATACCAGTTTTGCGAGTACGAGTACTGGTACTTGCCGAGTACTTACAAGTACGAGTACTGATACATTTTTGTTTATTGTCATGTGACAATACAGACTAATTATTTCAGGACAGTGGTGGAGCGACAGAGCCAGGTCCCAGCTGCAACCGCTGCAACCCTGATAGTTCTCATGAAAATGCCGAGTATCGGCACTGGTACTCGAAAAGTATCTGTGCATCCCTAATTAGCATCATCATTTACCAAATCATTGCCTCTCAGAAAAGGCCTGAGATTCTGCAAAAGCTAGCAGAGGTGAAAGCCACATTCTCAGCTCTTTTCAGGCACCATTTTTCTAACATCAGGGTGACAGTTAGTGGCCAAGTATACGGATAAAATGTGACAGGATGCAATGCAGCACAATGAGCTCATAGTGGTATATTGGGAAGAAGATCACAGTGTTGGTACTGTGTCCAGGCCTCCCCATTGATGATGGGCACTGCAAGGGCAGATATTTAGCAAGCCAGATCAGAATGTGTGGAGGTGTTGTGGACTAAGCAAAGTAATATTATAAAGAGATGCAAAGCAGACTGGGGTTGAAATATTGGGCAGTGAAATGAAACTGGCTCATTGAGAAATGGGGTTCATTGTGGCCAAGCAGAAAATATGAGTCAGAATGATTGATTGCCTTTAATATCCTACTCTGTTCACATTTATTTCAACCATCAGCTTTTCATTTTATTCGGCAGCTGTATAGTGCTGGAAATAGCATTTCACAAGATGCAGCTTGATAGCTTTTTATGCATGTCTTGTGGCAATGTGTTGAACCTCATGTACATGTTTTGCTATAATGAACTATTCACTTTCAGTTTGCAGTCATTGAGGTTTGGAGATCCACAAGTGTTAGCATATACAGGCCAATGAGAACAGCTCACTTGAAAGAAGGATTAAAAACGGTCATTGGTCCCCGAAAGCAGACAGGTAGACCCCGTGGTTTACCCTCCTCTGCCAATGGAAACCATAGGCTTATCATACAATATGACATATAAGATGTGCATTGCAACCCCCCAAACACCCGGATGTGGCATATGATGTTATGCTGTTAATGTTTGATCCTTAGCCAATTAAGCGATTGGGGCTAGCTGATATAGCTTTACTTATTACGTTTGTATATGTACTTTATCATTACTCGATTGTGTTTGTGTTGTATGTGTACTGTAAAATGTTGGCTCAAAGTAAAGAATTTTTTAAAAAAACAAAAAACGGTCATTGTAAATCAAAGTGCTCTCTTTGAAGGTCCTCTTACCTCATTATTGCTCACATCAAGACCCAAGTCATTCATCTCTTTTTCCAATGTCTTTTGTTGAACCTGTAATATTAGAAGCAAGAGAAGACTCAGATCTATACTGTGGTATACTTTACCTATTGTGAATAAATCGTGTGGTACGTTATACCTATCGTGATAAACAGTGAACATAATTACTATAATGTGATTATGGAGTCAAAGTTTTGAGAAATGGGATGTCTGCTGTAAAGAAATGAAAACTAGTATACATGTTTAGCACACTGTAGTCTGGTGTACCTACCTGGCACAGTTGATATACCGTGTTTCCCCCGAAAATAAGACACTGTCTTATTTATTTATTTTCACGAAAAAAGACACTAGGTCTTATTTTCGGGGTAGGTCTTACTTTCGGGGAAACACGGTACACATTTAATATATTGTCTTTCTGGAGGAAACTGCAACCGTATAGAAATCTAAATTTCCTAAGGCACCTTAAAAAGTTATGAGTGGTTTCCACACGTTTCCCAGCTTATTCAGATCAGACCGGAGTTGTTTTTCGTGATTGCTGTAACTGTCATATTGAATCTGATATGCGTTTTGGACCATTTACCTTCTTAACAGTTCTTGGCAGTCTCGGGCCATGTATATCTTTCTCCTTTGACGCGAGGATCTTCAGTTTTTTCTTTTCGCGGATCTGTTGAGCAAGCTGTCGTATTTCGGCCATTTCTTCATCCTCACTCTCAATATCACTATCATATTCACCCGCTGCTTCTTTCAGCTCCTCCTCTTTCTCCAGGTCTTCCAGTTTCTAAAACAAAGTAAATACATGCTGGATATTAAAACTATACACAGAGAACCCCAATAACAGGCTAGGCAGCCAGTTTAGACCTTCACATGCTACTTTTGAGGTTCACTGAACTCTTTGGATAGTATACACTGTTCACAAGGTTTTGTATTTTTTGTGTGACATATAACAAACACACAGGAACTCCACACCACAAGAAATTGAGACTCAACAGATCATTATAAATAATTTATATCTGCTTTCCTTGCAAAGGGACAGAGCAGCCAATATGCAAACAGACCCCATCACTCTTACAAATGGATTATTTAAGAAAACCTCATCAATTTTGAGACACAGTCAGCTTCTCCTATCACTATGGGTCATTATACAGGCAGCTGCGACTGCAGTTAAAAACCAAGAAGAGCTCACTGTCCTAAGGGAAGTATGGACAACGGCATTCCAAATGCATCTGTTTATTGACGTAGATGCATCAAATCACATTCGGCGCAACGTTTCGGGGTCACGCAGGATCCCGTTCCTCAGGCAGGACATGCAACATTAATCACATATCCTGCCCGAGGAAGGGAATCCTACATGGCCCCGAAACATTGCACTGAATGTGATCTGCTGCATCTACGGCAATAAAAAGGACGCATTTGATTTGCATTTGGAGTGACCGTGTTCATACTTCCCTTTGTGCATAGAGATGGCTGGCATCCTTCGACCACCATTGCATCCACCTAATCTACATGGAAAACGTGGTCAGGAGTGGATTTTTACTTGAGCTCACTGTCCTGACACCAATTACCGTATTTTTCGCTCCATAAGACGCACTTTTTTCCCCCCAAAAGGAGGGGGAAAAAGTGCCTGCGTCTTATGGAGCGAATCCCGACACCCGAGACATGCAGTTTCGGGCGCCGGGCGAGTAGTAGGAGCCACTGCTCTTTTAATACGAGTGATCTAAAGAGATCACTCATATTAAAGCCGAGCAGCGGCGGCGATCGAGTTCAGCAGCAGGAGCCACTGCTCGTTTAATACGAGTGATCTAATGAGATCACTCGTATTAAAACCGAGCAGCGGCGACGATCGCCTGCTCTGTGTCATCACTGAGACCGTGGCGCTGTAATCACAGCGCCACCTGTCTCAGCGTTCACTAACTGCAGCTTCTGTCACAGCTTCTGTAATAGAAGCTGTGACAGAAGCTACAGTCTCGAGTGCTCCATAAGGCACGCCGGACCTCCCTGCGTCCTATGGTCCGGTGCGTCTTATGGACCGCAAAATACGGTAATAGTGAGCAAAAGTAGTAAAACAGCTCCAAGTTTCATACAGACAGTACAGAAGCTGCATATTACCCACACCAGAGACTCATTCGAACTCACCTTCATGATGTCTGGATCAATATAATCTGTAAGATTATGACCCTGCCAGATTTCCGGGATTTTATCAAACTTCTCTGATGGATTCATTAGATCCCAGTATTCTGAAACAAGAAGGAAAATGTATGAGCAAATTACTTTGTTCTGCTATCTTTAGGAGAAGGTATGATAGTGACCACAAGGCAGTTATTTTATACTACTCTGGAATGGATTTTAAGATAAATAGCACTAAAGCACAAATGAACCTTTAGTTTAAATCAGCTTAAAACATTTCAACAAAACAAAATATGCTCAATAGTTAATAGTTTACAGTTGCTTTTCTTTCTAAAACAGCCACAGCCCGAGTAAAAAATCCTGTAAGCAGCTGCAGAGAGGGACCCATGCTCTTTGTGTGGCAGCAACGATCTCATTGCAGAGGTCCGACATCCCCCCCACCCGCCCCAACTAAGCAAAACCAATAGCTTTGCAAGCTCAAACTTAGCAGGGATGTGTCAGACCAATGCAGAAAGATCACTGCTTCCCCACAGAGAGCAAGGGTTCCACTGTGTAGTATCCTGGCAGGACAAAGGTTTTATTACTCTTTAGCTGTAAGACACTGCACATCTTTTTGTTTGGATGCACCTGGAATACATTTTGCTAAATTGAATTAAAGTTCAACCGGGCTTTCGGGCATAATGCATTCCTCCTTGATACTGCATGCTGGTTTCATATGCTATTCACAGTAACCTTGTGATAAGACAGGACTGCCATTGCAGACCTCTTTCAGAAGCTTTTTGAGTAGCATCCTCCAGTAAATATGAACAAACATTCAGCTGCCACTTGTTGCAAGACAGTGACTCTCTATATGGTGAACCTGAAGGATGGGTAAGATATCCAAATAGAAGCAGTGGTACCTTCTAAAACACCAATTGTGACATGTTCACTTTACAAGACAAAAATCTTTAACATTAATGTCTGCTGTTGGCTTAAAACAAATCGATACTGACCAAAATATGGACGCTGCCATTGCAGCCCACCTTGTGAGAATGCTGCTTACCCGCCTATCTATTTTCTAACCAAGAACAAGCATTCAGATTAGAAAGTCAGAAATCCTAAACGACATCCGATTTCTAGGTCATGACAGATAAGTAACATGTATTTCCAAAAAAGGAGGACAGGTCAGCTAGGGCAGTCACTCAGCGCAGATTTCATTTAAATATAACCAAGAAGCATGTACAAGACTCCACATAATTGCCATAAAACGTCCTTTACATCTTTTAGATTAGAAAAAGTTAATTGGAAAAAAAATGAATTGGAAAACGTGAATACTCACTCTGCAGATCCAGGATATAATCATCCCCCATCTCCATTTCCAGGTCTCTCTCCTGCAACACAATACAGGCACATTATAAAACTGCTCGCTGCTGTAATAAAACCATATAAAACGTGTGTCTTTATAGGCTGGGCTACTAACCGATTTCTTCTTTGAAGCATCTGTATCCATACGTTTTTTTCTCACCAATGCACCCTCTGGAATAAAAGGTGGCCTTACCTAAAATGAAAACAGCCGCCTATTAAGATAAGATACAGGTGGTACAAAATGATTTGAGATATCCTTCATAAGGTAAACACTTCCCAGACCTAAATAATTCAATGGAGGATATGATGAAACAGATACGCAAAGCAGAGATTACCTCCAGTGAAAATCACATGCCAAAATATTAATTGGATGCAGTGATACAAGCAGCTGAAACCTGGAAAGATAAGCTTGACCCTGATCTCTTCTCCTCGATCTCTTTATTGGTCAGTGAACTTGGAGGCAGGACGTGTGAACTTATAAAAGGAAAGTCAAGATTTCCAAATAAACTTTAGTAGCCTATACATGGGTCTATTGATTGCTTTGATATTGTTTTGTTTTCCAATGAATGTAACCTCGGTGTATACATATATTTTCATCATATGCCCAGTTTGAGTTGCCCAGACTTGTAACATGTTTTCGCTAAATAGGCATCAGGCGAGGCAAAAAACAAATAGAAAAACCCCTTAGGCCACGTCCACCTCATTTTCCGGACCAGATCTGAAACGCGGTGCATTGCATTTTGCCACTATTTTATCGTGTTCCAGAGTTGTTGTATTTTAGCTTAAAATGGGCTTTCAGGTGCGGTCCAGTGCGTTTGCGTGCATTCCAGACCAGACAAAATTAGACATGCAGTATTTTTCTGGTCTGGAAGGGACTGCGCTGGTGTGAACAGAGGTTAGAAACAGTATAGGGATACATTAAGATGTATTTTGGGTCCGGAAACAATCTGGCCTGGAGATGATCTGGATATGGTGTAACCAGGCTTTTAGTCTAAGGCTAAATGTCCAATTATTCCTCGGATATTACATTTACAAGCCCATACATTTATTTGGCATAGATTCCTAGTATATCTGTAAAACACATGTTAGAAGGAAAGTCCCTTTGCCAACATTATAGTTTTTCTACTAAAACTATGTATTCTATGTATAATTATGTTCCTCAGAGACACAAAACACCATCCTCGTTCCAAGTCACATCTTCATGAACAATTGTAACCACACTGTAAAATGAGCAATGAACCAAAAAGAAAATGACATAAAAGATGAAATCCTCTCACCTTATCATCTCTCTTGCTTGGTATGGCCAGGTGAAGCCTATTGAGCACATCATTCACTTTGTTTCCCTTCATCTTGGTCTCCACTCGGTGGGCTAATAACCGGTCACAAGCCTGCGTCAAAGAACAGACTCCATTTAACAAACTCAAGATACCCCAGGGTATTTTGGCCACATGGAACATTCTAGAAATGGCATACCTCAGTTTTGACTTGGATCACACCTTCCTCGGTCAGGGTGCTGGTCTCTAGCACTGGTAGCCCTTCATTCTCAAAGTCCTTAAAAATGTTCTGTCAAAAAAATGGCAGTAGACTGCATTAAACTGCTATAGCAGGCAAGGGCTCACACCCTAAAATACACCCCATGTCACCCAGAGTTTAAAATTCAACTAAGTCCTAGGTATGATACAATACATTAGAACAGAGCCTGCCAAGGAGACCATTGTGTGTGCTATATTACACTAAATAAGAAACCAATTAAATGACTTGAATCAATGGTAATTCTTCGTCAGTGAGTTGGCCATCAGTGCCAGGAGATTAGTTTGGTTAGCTTTCTATACACAGAGTGATGTCCTACCCCAATTCTCCCCCCTCAAACTAATCCTGTAAGCCTAACACTCGAGGCCCATTCAGACCTCTCCACTGCGGTGTATCACAGTAACATACACAACACACCATGCACACGTTCACACATACCGATAACCTATACTTTGTAACAAACTAAATTCACTGTTCAGATGAAGTCTGGAAAAAAAAAGAGCTTTTGGAATTTGACTGTTTTGCAAGTTGGAAGTCTTAATCCTTCCAGTTTTAAAGGCCAACTACACTGTAGTTAATTACGCCACAGAGGAACAGGGACTGTACATCTACCCTGATGTAATGAACCATGGTAATGTAAACTGTAAAACGTATGGAACAATATAATATACCTCATAAATGCCCATACACCCCTCACTTGCTAGAAGTATTCTATTATGTATTTTATTACAGGTATTTATAGAGCGCCGACAATTTACAAAGCGCATTACATAGTTGCACATTCACATCAGTCCCTACCCTCAAGAAGCTTACTATCTCACATGCATACATACAGGGACAATTTTAGACAAGAGCCAATTAACCTTCCAGCATGTCTTTGAAGTGTGGGAGGAAACCGGAGTACCCGGAGGAAACACACACAAGCACAGGGAGAAACTCCTTACAGATAGTGACCTGGCCAGGATTCAAACCAGAGACCCCCAGTGCTGCAAGGCAGAAGTGCTAACTACTACACTACAGTTTATAGCAAGCTATAATCAAAAGGAAATCTAGGGACACAGAAGCATCACTATCAATGGAAAAAAATATATAATCTGTAATAAGGTCATTTAAAAACATTTAATATGTACAAAAAGCCTAAAACATTCTTATACTGAGGCTTCAGCTATGTAATTAGCAGTACGGTAAGAAATAGAATATGAATAAAACTGGCTCAAACTTTGGTATAAAAAAACAACAATTTTTTAGCTGACCAGACACCTCCAATATGTGCAAATAGTACAGAATCACTGAAGCAAAGCTCTATGTGATCACTATGATCCTGTGTGAACTCATTGCTGAAAAGATTAAACTGAGGGTTCACGGTATACATTATCTATTAAACAGAACTTGCTCTGAGCCCTCTGCACAAGTTCCCCATTTTATGACCCACTCCTGGCTCTCTTACCTGCTCTTCCTCGGTCAGTTCCGAGACTCTCTTCACATCACACTTGTTCAGAACAAGAATTAAAGGCTAAATGAAAAGTACAGAAACATTACATTAGTTGCTTACAAACAACAATTAGTTACTTATTTGAATACAACATTCCGGAGGACAAACCTTATTGGCAAACAAAGGACGGATGTTGTTGAAGAGCTCCACCTGCTCCTCTAGGGTGTGTCCACACTGCTCTGAGACGTCCATCACATACAGGACGGCAGCGCGAAGGTGAGCCAGGGCAGTGATAGCTTGCATCTCAATGGTGTTCCTTTCCTCCAGGGGGTGATCCAGAATACCTGGTGTGTCCACAACCTGCAATGTGCCACCGGGAAAATATGTACAGTTAAAGTGATATATTACTAGCCTTTGTGATACTGCAGCGAGTTCTGACATACTAGCCTTCTCTACAGATAAAGAAAAGTCGCAATAAGAGAGTGAACCAATCTGTTCATAGCTGCAGCAGCCATGCTGATATGGCCTAATACACAGTCGCCTATAGTCAGCACACTCAAGGGGTTATGGGGAAGGGGGCAGGCTGGAAACTGCTTTGAGTGCCATTTTTTTTTTAAATGTTCTGTACACATGGAATAAATTATAGTACCATTTTAAGATGGAACCAATACATTAAAGAACTCCATGCAAAAAAAAATCTTAACCATTGCAGTGGGACTCCCCCCCCCACACTGCAAGAGTTAAAGTACTGGTTTTGTACTGGAGCTAAAAAAAAAAACAGTTATACTCACCCGAACCACGATTCCAACTGGCTGTTAGACTGGTCACTTCAGCCTAATTCCCCCTCCGCTCCAGCGATCTAAGGTCCTGTAAGTCGCCATGTCCTATACAGGATTGGGGGTCAGGGTTAAAGGGACCAGTGTAGGAGCCAGCCGGTGGATCGGGTGAGTAACTTTTATTTCAGCTTCCTAGGCAAAATTAGTACTTAACCCTTGCAGTGCAGGGGTAGCCCCTCTGCAAGGGTTAAGATTTTATTTGCCCAGAATTCTACCTTAAATGGGGGCAATATAAAATAAAGTTAAAGTTCAGTATTCACCAACCTGCCAGCGGAGGTATTTATAATCCATGTGTCCCACAAATAATGACTTGGTGGTGAATGCATACGGCTGCACTTCTACGTCCGCCCTGGTTACCTGAAACACAAAGAACGATCAGTCCAGAGATCACTACAATCTACACACTAGGTGGCATGGATAGATTCTACTTCATATCATCCATAACATATCGATACTCAAATGAATATAAACCACCGATGTTTCTCATGTGTGGGATGCATAACTACACTATGCAAAGTAAATATGAATAGGTTTTTAACTGTCTAACATCTCCATCACTACAGGGGTTAAGAAACTAATACATTATCTGGATATACAAGTGCAAAAAAAAAAAAAATACAAAATATATACACACACACACTTTCAGAAGGTTTTGGCAATAGCAGTCTTTATATTTCTCTACTGACAGGTTCACTTACGCAGTTTCTATATCACTGCCAGGGAACTGGTGTAGAGCCCAGAAATCAGATAATAGCGGGTTTCTGAGGATTCCCTTGTGACAGACCCACTGAAATGAACCCAAATCCACCAAAACACCACAATGTCAGTGCTGGGTACCAATATCATTTAGCAATTACTTAACTACTATATTTAAAACAATAAGGGGAATATTTATACATTTTATAAAAGCAGGGAATCTGCCATTAACTGCAAGTAGATATTCCAGGTGCATGTGTTTCATATGACAGTGATAGCTTTACCACCAGTGGAATTTTTGGAGAAAGTCAAGGTTTAATAAATATGCCTCTAAATATTACAGAATGTTTAAGCTGCACAATGTTTAACCTGTTGCTGCCAGCCATGCGCATACTGTATATGTTGCGGCACTGTGCTCCCATATACGTGTATGTACATACATCCCGCACCACTGTTCTGTGCTGGGAGGGGGCTCACTCAGGGCTACCCTAACATTGTGACTGAGCGGACACTGTATGATCGGCAGCCAGTAGGATGGGCTCCTGATCATGTTACCACTGTGAAAACCAATCACAGTGATCGCATCATCAGGAGGCAACCTACCATCATCTAGTTTAAAGAACCCCTTAAAGGGCCACCAAGAGATGACAGGAGTAAATGGAAGTGCAGAGAAAGTCTGATTAAAATACAAACCTTATTTATAAAGCTGGATTTACCGACGTTTGGATAGCCACAAAGAAGCAAGGTGCGTGTATTAGGATCAATAGTTGGCAACCGAGACAGATGTTGGCGAACTGTACAAAGAAAACAAAAGGTGGTAAATAGATTCCAAATGGCATCAACATAAGCAGACCTCTTCAAACACAAAGCTGGAAATACATGGGCTGCTGTGCAAAACACACAACTTCCACACATCTGTCCAGCCAACTCACCACAGACGGAGCACAAAATATTCCAACAGAGAACACTAATAAAATGGGCAAAATGTTTCTCTACCCAAAGTACAACACTGCCCTATAAAATCAGAAAGTGATTACAGACTTTCATGACAAATCCCAAAAATAAGATAACACTCAATATAAGTGATTAGTTTTATATCCCTTTTTGACTGTTTATATAAAACTTTTGTTCTACAAATAAACTTCTCTGGAGAGCAAATTCAAAATGTTTCAAGTTAGTTCCATTCAGAGAGTGATTGATACCCAAATATATAGTCAGAATACAGTATAGTAAAAGTGTCACAGAGTTGAGGGGATGACCATACACAGATAGAAGAATAATACTCGAACCGTGGAAGTTTTAAACCTAAGTGACAACAACCTAGTTAAAGCTATATAACAGACACCATAGTATTTTTGTTCCGCTGTCACAGAGTAAGCCAATAGATCAAAGCAAAAAAGAAAAGGCTCTGTTAACCAGTAACGACGTGACTGATGCTTGCATAAGTTATAAAAACCACACTGTGGGACTGTACCCCATGTCCTAATACACCTTGCAGACAAAGTCAGGGGTCACGTGGAGAAAGAGTTAAATGCGAATCAACCCAGGGGGTCCAGATCTAAAAAAATGGGGGGGGAGGCAGCCCCTGGCCTTGCACTACAAATAAACATTTTACATACAGGGTGTACCCATAACACTGGTGTCACAGAGTGTTATGAGCACTGAGGCAGAAGCAATCTGCTTTCAGTTTTCTGCTCTCTAATTGAAGCCGTGTTAATGTGACATTTTTAAAGGAGCACAGATTTTGACCTAGTGCTCCTTTACAAAATATTCATAAGAAAATATATGTCATATTTATCAGCCAAAACAACTTTACCAGGGATGTACCGAAATTTGGGCCGAAAATTGCACTATGGGCAAAATGCCAATAGTATCAGAATGGCTCCAGCTCGGCCTCCCTGACAGTTTCTCAGCTCCCAGGTGGGCACTGCTCTGTGTCCCATCTGATCCCTGCCTGTGTCGGCAGAGGGAGCGGGGAGATTGATGCAGCCGTGTACTGATTGCTGAGTGTTTGTAAATAACTGAGGACATAGTAACTAGTTACTGTGTCCCCACTTATAAATGATCAGGAAGTGCTCTACATCACTTCCTGTTCATTTATGACTGTGGACATAGCATCAGTTACTATCTCCTCAGTTTATGAATGGACAGTAGCACTCAGTATAGAGGATTCCTTTTCATTTATAACGGGAGGTGCAGAAAAAGAGACTGAGGACTGTGTCCTCAATCTATTTTTCTTTTTTAAAAGGGAAACATCAGGGTTTTTGGGCCAACAAATTTTAAACTTTCCGTTTCGGTCTAAATATATAATTTCGGTGCATCCCTATAAATTGCGATAACAGCAAGAAGCTCCTGGTACCAGTGTTGGAGCCTATGGGAGTGGGGATCAGGTAAAAAGCCACTTGTACTCCGGTTGCCCAGGGGGAAAAAAATGACTTAACTCAGCCCTGGCCTTCGGTGCTTCTGGGAAGGCATTGGTGGCGTCACTGTACATAACCACTGCCTCCTGGGATAGCTGGGTGCTTATAATTCTGAAATGATGCACTCCTGCAATGGGCTTGAATGCAATTTTTCAGGAGTATGAGCTCCCAGCTCTGCAAAAAAGCATGGTGACGTCATCTATGTCTCCTCGAAGCCTCAGAGGCTGAAGAGGTAAGAATTTATTTTTCAGGCAACCCGATTGTTTACAAATGGCTTGCAGAAAAAAGCAGATCTTCCACTTAATTTGGAAGATCTGCTTTAAGGCGATTTATGCTAATTCTCTTGATAAAGTATAGTAGGAGGAATTGTTCGGGTCACTTTAACTTCATATATTCCATTAATATACTGTATGGAGTCACACAATATACGGCACAGTACGACATGGAAATACCTTGCTCCAGATATTCCAAACTCTGTTTCTGCCTCTTGATAATAGTGCACATGCGTCCCAAAGCGGCTCGTTTCAACTGTTTGCAACGATATAAAGAATCTCCGTATTTCATCAACCTCACATAATCCTTGGCCACACTGGAACAGAACACAAGCGGTCAGCTGAGCTCAAACAAGATGACTTATCACTACAATATAAAACGAAATCTTCACTCACTTGTCAATCAGGTTCTTAGCGATATTGATCTGCCCCAAAGCCAGTTTGTAATGGTCTTTGTCATACAGGACATTCATTAAATCTGCATAAAACGGGTGCACATCCTAGAGAAGAGACAAAAAATGTGTAATAACGTACCCCTGAACACATTACGTGATACTAACAGTCAAAAAGTTTTAAGGCGGGTGTGTGTGTGTGTGTTGCTAGGAGGTCCATAACCCTGTATGTTCTGCAAGCTGAGGAACTCATCAAGTGTTTTTTTGAAGCTGTTTATGTTCTCAGCAAACACAGCTATCTGTGGAAGTGTATTCCACATATTTACCGCACTCACAAAGTAAAATAAAAAATTACCTTGCGAAATTGAAGATTATACCGCACCCCCTCCAACTTCTTGTTGTGCTCTCACAAGTTCTTGGTTTAAGTTGTGCATTCCCAATACTGCAGTCCCCATTGAGGAGTTTGTAAATTGCGATTATGTCTCCTCTTAAGCGTCTCTTCTCCAAGTAGAGCAAATGTAATTTTTGTAGGCGTGCTTAATAACTCATGCCCTCCACCCTCCGTATAAATTTAGTTGCCCTTCTCTGAACTTTCTCTAGCTCATGGACATCCCCCCTAAGGATAGGTAGCCAAAACTGAACTGCATACTCAAGATGGGGCCTATTTTAAATGCTGATGAAATCACGTACAATGAACGCTGCTCCTTGATGTTTAAATATTTCGTTTCCTCCAGAATCAGCTAGTCCCCCGAGCACTGGTCCTGATCTCCTGTTACATCCAGCCCAGAACCCTACTTGCATCAAGTCCAGAACCCTACTTGCATCCAGTCCAGAACCCTACTTGCATCCAGTCCAGAACCCTACTTGCATCCAGTCCAGAACCATACTTACATCCAGTCCAGAACCATACTTACATCCAGTCCAGAACCATACTTACATCCAGTCCAGAACCATACTTACATCCAGTCCAGAACCATACTTACATCCAGTCCAGAACCATACTTACATCCAGTCCAGAACCATACTTACATCCAGTCCAGAACC